TCCTCATGGTCAATAAAAAAAAGTCGAAACGTTTTTTATTTTCTTTACAAGTAAGAGACCAAACGAAGCCCTAAAGCAGTACTAAATAACATGCATGCCTTTGTACCACACACACACACACACACACACACACACACATATATATATATATCTGCATTATTTCCAGTAAGATGCCTGTAAAGCGATCTTTTCTCATATGTGCTATACTTTAATGCACTCCTTCACCTTATTTTTTCAGCTGGTTTCACCATATATGAGAGATATTATATATATGTATATAAAAACAGTACTACTATTTCAAGCGCGGCCATAAAAAGCTGATCAGGATTACATTTGATTATCTTACGGAATTTTTTGCAGATTATGACCTTGCTTCTGAACGCATCATCCATTAATTAATATCTCTGCAGGCAGTAATATTACAGTTCGTGTCATTGAGATGGGTTTTAATCCATTCTTCTTTAGCTCTGAGAACAAAAGGATATGTATTAGATTCCCGAGAATCAAAGAAGTACACTCTTTAACACCCCTGCCGTCTGATTTGATTTGATCTTTTCGCTTGAGAGTTGAACTATATATATCCATCTATAATTTCTAGCCGTTGGATAAGTTTTGACCAAGATGATTTCCAAAAGTGGATTGGTCAGAGTATTAGTACTATATGTTCCTGCAACATGCATTTTGTGACTTTTCAATCCCTTTAAAGTTTAAGCCTGCAGACACAAAAGGAGTCCTACATATATATATATATATATATACACACACACACACACATAATATAGATATATATAATCGCAGCTGTATATACATACATGTTTATATATCCAGTTTATTACAGTCCGGACTCTACATGCCCAACTGCAACCATTACTTTAAAGAGTCTTATCTCATTTTAAATCCTCAAAATACCCTTGCTCAGAACACCACATTCACAACTTTGTACGAAGCAAATAACATGGATATTTTTGTCATATGCATACATACACACATATATATATATATATATGTGTGTGTGTGTGTACACACATATCTTTGCACCAAGTAGTGCCAGAGAATATATATCTACATATGAAGTTAGGGTTAGGATGATAAGAGAGAAAAAAAGAAGAGCCGACAACCACAATCGAATCATATCGTTTTCTTTTTCTTCGCCAAAAAAAAAAAAAACACACAAGTACTCTGCCTGTGCCATCTCATCAGTCTGCTGGGAAAAGAAAAGAAAGGAAAAGAAAAGCCAAGCCAACCCACAATACCAAAAGCAACATTAACACACACCTTATAAGCCTTATTTTTCTCTTAATTAAAGGAACATACCGTACGGACATATGATCTCTATTTTTTCTTTTATAATATTTCTTGTGGATTTACATTAGTATATATTGAAAATGTTTCTTTTTTTTTTTTTTTCCCCTGTAGTTTTTTAATCTTAGTATTATGAAAAAGGTACTGTTACATATTGGACATGCTGCATACATGTCTAAGCATCTAACCATATTTACATGAGGCATGCGCTGCGCACTTGTTCTGTACTATATTACAAATACATTCTTATATATAAATTATTTCTATATATACATATATACTCGTGTGTGTAGGCGATACAGATCATAAAGCTTTGCTGGAAAGAATTGTGAACATCAGAACAAGGCACTTGAAACTTGAAAGGACGAAGAGGGGGCCAAAAAAAAAAAAAGAAAAGAAAAAAGAGAGAGTTAATCTAGGAGGGCACTTTTGATGATAAATAATTCCAAATGTACTCTATCTACATTATTCACATATGTGCATTAAACAAAAATGGACCTAAGAATTAGCCATGTGACTTTTAAATAGAAATTTAGCATTTTTGTTTTTGCAAGCCAAGGAATAGCAGATGTCTATTTATGTATGCACCTTTTTGTCAAACCCAGTTGAAGGAAAAGTCTACCTTTTTTGGGAATTATAGATCAGATGCTCTTACAGGTGTGAAGATCATCTGCGGCGATTATTCTCAAAATTGATTTATATATATATATATATATATGTATATGTATGTATGGGCATCTGATCATTAACAAGAGAAAAAAATAAAAGAAGAAACGAATAGAAAAACACTAATGGTTCTGAGCTCCCACCATATATAATGCTCTAATAGATAACATTTAGCAGTAAATCCCCATGTATAACAACCAATTATAATTAGCAATATTCTAAACTTTGGTTAGAAACTTCTTGATGATCTCGGAAGGGAAAAATAAATCGCCCAAATCCAACGTAAGTTATATATATATGTATATGTATATATATATATATATATAGAGAGAGAGAGAGAGAGAGAGAGAGAGTATAATATAGGAGGTTGAGAATATTCATTGATTGTAACAAGCAGTCCACATGCAAGGGACAGTATCACTGCCAAATTCCAGCTGATCTCTTCCACTTGATCCCACATAATGCAAAATTAATCCAGAATCATTTTTTCTTCTCGAATTAGTATATATGCAGTATCTTACGTAATTTGGAGCATTATCTAATAGTACTGGTGGTAGGACACCAAAAAAAAAAAAAAATCATATTAGAACAAGTATTTCATCACTTGTCTAAGGATTCTCCTACTTTTAGTTCTTGAACTAGGGGGTTTATTATTTTTAATTAAAAATAATCAAATTAAACCAAAAAATAGCATAACCTCTTACATGCAAAATTATAAATTATACTCTTAAGATCAAACAATTCCATGAAATTGACAATCAATGTGTGATAGTATCTATTATACCAAGAATATCAATGATCACTAGATTATATTGAAATTACACAGGATACCTTTTTAGCTTCTAGAACCTATATTTTAGTTTTAAATCTCTCTTACTAATTGAAATCAAAAAATTAGATACGTTCCCGATAAAATGGGAATGCTAGATATATAATAGTATTTTTTAGGTAGGGGATGTTGTCCTATAATACATGTTTGTATACGTTAGATCTTATCATGACTTAAAAATAAAAAATATGTAAAACTCACAAATTACATTAGATGCAATTAGAATGCTTTAAAATTCAAATAAAAAGAGTAAATTTAAATTTTTAATTCAAGTTGAGATGTGACTTTATATGAGAATTTTTTACTATAGTAAAAAAATTAAATGTAAATGTTTTTAAAAGTTTTTTACTGTAATAAAATTTAAATTCTAAACTTGAATAAGTGAAATGAACGGGACCTATATATAACACAAATTCAGTAGTGTAAAATGAGGAGCCTTATCAATATTCGGGAAAAAATGCTCTATCCATATATCGGATATGTTTTCATAATCATCCAGTAAAAATCTCATTAAAAAATGAGTTGATTTCAATAGTAAGGTTTGAAAAATTAACTATTAATAGGTGTATATTTTTTAACCGTTAAGTCTATATAAAAAATTGTCTATTTTATATATTCTAAAAATTATATTATTTTTAATCAAATCCTAAAAAAAACGTTCAATACCCACCCATATAAAAATTATACCTCATAAGGGGAAAAAAAAAAGAAAAAAAGAAAGCGGAGGAAAGGAAAAGTGTGGGTTTTACTCGAGGTAAGTAAGACTAGAGATCGGAGGTCCATGTGGTGAGGAGGCAAATAAAAATGCGCATGAAGGTCACGTCAAAAGGAAAAAGGGTTTGTGATGGCATGGCCACGTTCTTCTTTTATCTCTCTCTCTCTCGCTCTCTTTATTTGGATAGTTTGATGGCGTAGGAATAGTCATCAACCGACAACAAGGACGGATATAGCCGTCTATTAACCAACCTTCTCTCTGAAAAAGCCTGTGCTCTTTGTCTCCACAACTTCCCCTCCCTCGACTACGGTACTACCCCTATCTAATATATATTATAATACACATATATTATACATATATTTTCTTTCTTTCTTTTTTTTTTTTTGCCGTTTCTAACCAGAAAAATAATATTTGTCTCGGGATGAAACTCCGTCGCTCGCAATATATGGGTTATTGTTTTAAAGTGTAATTTGAATATAATTTTTAAATTAAATTTGAATTATAATTTGAGTTGAAGTTGTAATTTAAATAAAGTTAAGTAAAGTTGAATAAAATTAAAACTTAAAAGAAGGTAAACTTAAATAAAATTAGAACTCGAGTTATCTTTTTTTAAATTTTTTTAAAAAAAGAATATACCCATAGTAACGTCCGTTCATTTCAGTTTTTACCGATTTGAACTTAAATTTTAAATTTTATTATAATAAATTTTTTTTAAAGATAATTATAATTATTTTTTTATTATAATAAATTTTTTTTTATATAAAATCATATATCAATTCAAATTAATGAACTAAATAAATTTTAAGTTTTATTTAAGTTTCACCTACTCAATTAGCGAGATTTGCTTTATGTGAGTAGTAAAATTTTATTCCATGAGTGGTGGTCTTCTAACAAACCCTTACTCTCGTTCATTTCGCGGATTTGAGTTTTCAATTCGAGTTAAGATGTGACATTTTTTGAGAGCTTTTTACTGTAGCAGAAAAATTTAGATGTGACATTTTCTGAGAGCTTTTTACTGTAAAAACTTAAAATAAAAAACTCAAATCGATGAAATGAACGAGACCGTTGTTAATTCTTATAATTTGTAACCACACTAAAACGGTTTAAAATCAGGGTAAACGGCAATGCTTTCCTTTGTTGTGTTCCCGTTGTTAATTGTCCACTAGAACCATATTCCATAGGCTAATATTGTTGTCAACTTAAACGAGCGGAGCAACCCTATTTACCACCAATAAAGAAATAATTACGTACAGCCTTGTTATATCAAATTTATATAGCACATGCTTATCATATTTGATTAAAGTCCATAAAAAGAATATACACACTTACATACACATTTATATAAAGCTCTCTCTCTACATGTATATAGCTGCATGCGCTGACGACTCAAACAGACCAACTTTATTGTTCCGAGACTAGAGTCTATCTACACGACACGACTATATATCTCTCTCTCTCTCTAAAATAACCAAAAAACAAAAAAAAAAAAAAGGAAAAAAAGAAGAAGGGAAAGCTCCATATATCTACATTCCAAACTTGGATTCCCTCCTTTCCAAAGTCCCATCTATAAATACCAACCCCTCCCTTCATACCTTTCCTCGCCAAACAAACACACACCATATACATCTATATATATAACTATATATATCATCACTTCTATATCACTCTTTCAAATACCAACCCCATCAATTGATCTTTTCTTGCGGTTCCGATATCAACTTATCACCCTTTACCAAGAAAGAAAGATATCAACTTATCACCACATTCCACACTCACTAGTAGTCACTAGCTAAGTCAAATAGTCAATATATATTATAAGTATGCATTATCAGGCGGATGAGTCGTGGACGACGTCGGCGGGACCCAGAAAGTATATGATGAATCATGATATGGTTGATCCGATGGAGAGGATTGAGCGGATGGCGGCGGAGAACGCGGTGGTGATATTCAGCATGAGCAGCTGCTGCATGTGTCACGCCATCAAACGGCTCTTCTGCGGCATGGGAGTCAACCCCACCGTTCACGAGCTGGACCTTCACCCCACCGGATCCGACCTCCACGCAGCCCTCTCCGCCCTCCTCGGCACCTCCTCCGCTCTCCCCGTCGTCTTCATCGGCGGCAAACTCGTCGGCGCCATGGACAGAGTCATGGCATCTCACATCAACGGCACTCTCGTCCCTCTCCTTAAGGACGCTGGTGCTCTCTGGCTCTGATCTTCTATATCTATCTTAAAAATTATGATGAAAAAGAAAAACAAAAAATATATATTTATATATATGACTGATCATATTTGTAATATTTTACGATTTGGGAAAAAAAAAAAGGTAAGCTGCAGAGGAAGTGGAGTGGTGTTCCATCGAGTGAATTAACATCTGGCATTTTGGACAAACTACTTACTAATCATCGACCACTAATATCTAATTAACTTACTAGTTTAAGTTAGTTTCAACTTCTTTGTCTTGTCTTTTAATTTTTTTTTTCTTTCGCGAGAAAGTGTATCTTATCTTGGGTGTGCTTCATGTTTGCAGCAACTTAAATTATCCCTATTATCCCTAGTTTTGTTTGTGTGTAATTGCTCCCTCCTCTGTATATCAAGAGAACAATTATGAGGAAAATGAAAAAAAGAAAAAAGAAAAGAAAAAGTTATTGTTTGCTAGTTTTCATTTATTTTGTCTTTTTGGATAATAATTCCTTCTTACTCTTTGTTTAATGTTTTTTCACTCTTTTGAGTAATAATTTGTGTTTGCTTATGAGTCACACGAACGGTGTCGTTTATAAGCAAAGTACCAATACTTGTGGAAAGACAAAGAGTGTGGTTTGCGAGCCTTTGACCATGGGGTTTGATTGATAATCAACCAGAAAAATCTGGATTTGCGCCGGTGAAGTAGCCGATTTAGAAGCTCAACCTTAGAATTAATGCACTAAAAAAAAAACAAAAACAAAAAGATTGGTTAATTTGGGCCCATTTTTACTGTGTCACCCACTCATACCATGGATTAGACGGTGCAAGTAATCTTTGACCGGATCTACCTGTTATTTGGGACTACTTTTCAACGGTGATGGTTGGCTTCAGTCCTTTTCAGTGAACGGTGGAAAATTATCCGTACTAAGTTACTAATGGGCCCCATCTTAACCAGAGAGGGGTAGAGGGGAATCGTTATGCCACGTCAGTTTGGATGTAACTTTAGGTGTGTTTAGACTTTAGATAGATGGATATTAGGAAGGAGGGAAAGAAGAGGATGGAAGTTGGGAATATTCTTTCTTTCTAAGAATACCAAATAAAAGAGAGCGTGAATCGTGAAGGATTTAGGTTATAGGGATGTATTGGATTCTACTTTTCGTTTAAAGTTATTTGGTGTGATAAGAAAGAATCATGTAATTAACTTCTTTATGCTAATCAACGAGAATCATGTTAATTAACTTAAGTTTTGAGGTTCTTCTTTCACGCCAAAAAAAAAAAAAAAAAAAAGATTTTTCTGATTGTTCTCCCTATATTGCGTGAGATTCCTTCATTTTGCTGGTAAGATTGGTATATTTGAAATTTCAGCGACATTGTAGCACTTCTATATTGAGGATTGATGAATATTGCGATTTTAGTTCAATACTTTCTCACTTTTGTTTGAGGAAATGATTTATCTCATTGAATGTTCCAAAAAATGACGGGCAAATTCGCAAGGAAAAAAAAAATAAAAGATGGGAAAACGACAATAGTGGGGAGAGAAGCAACAAGAGCGGAACGACAACAAATAGAAACGACAGAAAAGGTTTCATAAGAAAAAGGACGACAATAAACATGAAAAAGGGAAAACCGATAAACCGTAATAAGTAAACATAAGACGGTGAAGATAAGAAAATGACAATGTATGCTGAAAATGGTAATTTAAGATAATTTAGATAAAACGACGTCAAACAAAATGAAAACTATTTTAAACAATGACAACAAAGGGGAAAAGGCAGTTGAGTGAAACATAAATATAGATAAAACGATAACACCTGAGTAAAAGGATAAATGATAAGAAAAACAATAATATAAATTCTAGAGTTAATGCGTCAATGATCAATATGACGTTTCTTTAAGAAGATGTCTTGAATAGTCTATAATGTCTTTCTTGAGGATCTAGATTTTCTGTCTAATTTGTAGTGTTTCAACTCTCAATTGTTGTCTAACCAATCAAATCATACTGCATCATCTCATGATAAGCGCAAAAGAATTGGTTAAAAATAGTTCAAATTTTTATACTATATGTAATGATATAATTAGTTAAAAACCTATTGAAACATTAAAATTAGACAGAAAATCTAAATCCCTTTATTGAAGTTAAATCTTGCATTACGATGTTAGGTCGGAGCCTCCGACGCTCAAGTCAATAAACAAATTGAGAAGATTAAAGCTGTAAACAAGTAGAAGACAGAGAAAATGTGTTATAGGTGTCAATTGCATGCTAGTTACTTCTATATTTTAATTTGGAGAAACTCTCCTTATACTGAACAAAGTTAACTTTTCATGAAGATATGCTTTCACCAAATTAGGGCAATATGAATTTGAATGATACATGCCTATATTCTTCGGGAATATTCTCAGTCGTGGTCAACGTGACCGCCTCATGGAGCAATCAATATCGATTCCCCGGACCCTTGAGAGTCAAGTCATCTTTTTGTGGTCTGCTGGAGTCTTCTTAGTGTTGTCTCTTTTATTATTGGCTGATTATTGGGTCTCCTTGGTCCGTCCTAAGGATTGGAGTCACTCCAAATTGACACATGTATAAACTAGAAGGAAAATGCATTAGGGCCAAACAGAAAACAAATAGAAAGGACGAATAAATGTAGAGAAGGAGAATTATAGTAAGAAATATGCCAAGAGTTGAAAGGGAACAATATCAAGAACGATAAGAATGTAAGAAACTCAACACCAATAGACATGCAAATTACGAGACGGCGACAAAAGAAAATAAAACAAGCAATAACAACAATGGGGAGAATGATAACACGGATAAAAAATCACAAAACAATGGCCAGGCGACATAATGATATAACAAAATGAAATTGTGTCAAGAATAGGAAAACAAAAAACTCTGACAATATATATATATATATATGTATATATATACAGTGAAAAGAGGAAGATACTTAATGACGACAATATTGAGAAAACGAGAATAAGTTACATAACGACAAAAAATTGAAAACTAACATGAAAATGATGAAAACGTGTTCGTCATATCCTTGTTATGGAAGGAATATATATTTGGATAATCAATATTTTGACATAGAGAAAAGACGACAATGAATTGGAAAACGGAAAATGTAACAAAGAACGACAAAAATATTAAAAACAACAATACACAAAACGATTAAAATTGTTGAAAACGACATAAAATTATTGAAACGACAAAAAAATGTAAAAGGACGTTGTGACCGAACAATAAGCAATAAAACGACATGAATGATTGAAAAGGACAATAAAAATGTAAAACGACATTCAAACGGTAAAAAGTGTTATTTTTATTATAATTCCAGGTCTGAGATGAATAATGACTTTGCCATATGCGATAAACGTCAAAGAATTCAAAAATAGAAAAGGCCACAAGGCGATAATAATTAAAAGAAAAAGAAACGAAAATTAATTGAAAGCGAAAATGTTAGTGAGAATGATAAGAAATAGATAAAAACGACAAGAACTTGAAATGAATAGGAAAAAATGAGAAGGAAGAGAACATCGACGCCAAACTGGAAGAAGAAATACCAATAACCAGTCCAATTACCAGTCTAATTTTGTCGTACTTCTCCCCTCTGTTGCCCTTATCTGCCTTTTTTTGTTCTAGTTGGATAGGTGTCGCCTGTCGGATTTTCCACATTTTGTTGTTTTTTACACGTCGTTACTCTATTGTTTTTATTTTTTAATTCATTGTCGTTTTCCATCTTTTCAGTTTTCCATTTGCTTTCGTTTTTTTAATTATTATTTTTTTATTATTACTCATCATTTATTTTTGTTTCGACAGCTTGTGGATTTTAATTTCCGACATCATTTCAAATATTATTGTCGTCCTATTTTCATGTCTTCTTATCCATTGACGTTTTCCCTAGTGAAATCGTTTTTGCGGCGAAAACGACAATGAAAGAGAAGAACTTATAATCAAAGTGAAAAAAGACACAAGGTAAAACGAAGACAAAGGGGAAGACCTTTCAAGAAGGAAAAAATAATAAAACCAATGGGAGTAAATTTTAGGTTACTTACCTTTTTTTTTGTTTATTTCTTTCTTTTCGCGTTGTTGCATTTCCTTAATAACTTTTGTTTTTCTTCTTTTTGTTTCTTTTTCCGTAATTTCATCTCACAAATTTTTTTATTTTTTTTGCTCAAATTCGCTTTCATAACTAATTGGACTCTTTATTTCCTTTTTCTTTGTGTTTCGATTTGCTAACGTACTATTTCTTTTTCCCCATGTGTCTAGTACGTTGCATTTTTTTTCCTTTCTTAATTTTAGTCACAGCCTGAAGCGTACTAATTACTATTTTTGTTGCTTATATTCAAAAGATATTCAACAAAAACTAGTTTTAAAATCAGATTACACTTTCTCTTTCAAAAAAAAAAAAAAAAAAAGTGGTTGCTTTATGGGCATGGGATGGTCAAACTGACCCAATCAAAAATGCCAGCCATCCGATGACGTGGCCTTTTCTTCGTACCATTTGTCAATGCCTCCGTGTCTCACCGACGCGTCCGCTCTTTCAAAATTCTTTGGTCAATTTTCTGAAGATCCACACCAGTACAATCCACCAATAACAGATCACCACGTCATAGTGTAAGTCTGATTGGCAGGTTTCCTGCAATACAATTGGTGGTATAGGCAATGAACAGTAGTAGTAGGTGCAGAGGAACAGAACTTTTGGTCTAACTCTGGTCTTTGGAAGCTGCTTTTTTTCTTTTTTTTGTTTAATTGTTTTATTTTTTTAACTGACAAGAACCACAGAAAAGTTGTTTCTACCGTTTACACTGACAAGATTCGAAATCCAAATCTCACTTTTCTTTCTTTCCTCTTTTATTTCTAAAGAAAAATTGTAAAAAGGAACTGAAAAAAAAAAAAAACTGAAAGCCAAAGAGAGACCTATATCTATATATATTTAATTAAATAAAGGGCAAAAAAAAGAGAGAAAGAAAGAAGAGAGACAGAAAAGCGTGGAGATCGGGTCTAGGGTTTCTCTCTGTTTTTGGATTTTAAGACTCGAATCTCTAATCCAATCCCTCTCTCTCTAAACTAACCAGTACAGTGAACTGAGAGAGAACTCTCCGATTATTCCTTTTCATTTCAGGTATTTTTTTATTTAATATATATTTTTTGTTTTTATGGATTTTGAATTTATGATAACTAAGCTTAGTAGTTTTGTCAATTTGTTCACCAATTCGAGCTTTTGTTAGTCTTTTCGGTTTAATTTGTTTGGTTTCCGAGAAAAGCTGATTAAATTTGCAGTTTTTTAAGCAAATTAAACGAAGCTTTAATTATTGATTATGCTGAGGAAATTAACTGAATATTCAAAATTTCTCTCTGTTTTTTCTTTTTTTCTTCTTTGCCCCCTGAAATTTCTCGTGAAGGAAGTACAAAATTGGTTTTGCTGTTTTGCAGTTTAGATTGTAGTATTTATCTGTGTAAAGGAAGTTTTTTTTTGAAGAAGAAGAGATTGAAGTAGTGGGGAGGTTTCAAATGCCGGAGGAGGACTTGGTTGAGCTCAAGTTCCGGCTTTACGATGGATCGGATATCGGTCCGTTCCGCTATTCGCCGGCGTCTACTGTGGCAATGCTCAAGGAGAGAATCGTCACCGAGTGGCCAAAAGGTCAGTGAGAGTCCGTTCGGTTATTTTGTCGTTGGCCATTTGCTTCAAGTGTTAAAGGAAAAAGCTTTGATTCGAAGATTTTAGCTTTTCAGTTCATGATGTTATTATCTGAAAAGTTCTCCCTTTTCTTATAACACATTGTTCGATTTTATCACCATTGATGATGCAATCACCATATACGTGGCATTACATAAGAACTATCGGAGTAGAGTGGGATCCAGTTCTTTCATATTTTGTTATTTGATAGTTCTGTTTTAGTGACACAAATGGTGAATAGTATTGCTCTTTCCTTAAGTATTGGCGCTTAAGGAGGAAACATATTACAGGATGTGATTATTCTGTTTTTGAGAGGCTTTTAGCACACCATTTTTGGGAATTGTTGGTTTAACCCCTCATGGGAATTTTTGTAGCCTCTAGTTGTTTAAGTTCAACTTGAAGTTTCCTTTTAGCTATGCATTGGATGTAATTTTTGGAACTGTTCTGTTCACCACTTCATAGACATAAATAATAGCAAGTTCTTAATTTTATTGTTAATTATCTTCTGTATATGTTTTCGACATAAAGTTTCCTTTTAGCTATGCATTGGATGTAATTTTTGGAACTGTTCTGTTTCACCACTTCATAGACATAAATAATAGCAAGTTCTTAATTTTATTGTTAATTATCTTCTGTATATGTTTTCGACATTCAGTATTTTAAGCAGTGACTACAAAGTGCTAATTATCTTCTTTGAAAACAATTGGACATGATTAGTATTTCTGATGAAGGCATTCAATTTGAATGCTGGTGTCTGCATTTGCATCATAGTTACTGTTTTAATCTGCTATTTCTCATGGACTTATTGGCCGTTCTCCGATCATTTCCAAAAATGGTAGTAACTATGTCTAAGATAATGATAGGGCATAGTCATGTAGGTCTAACTAGTTTAGGTTTTGTAATTACTTATATTACTTTTGTGAGTTTCATTGTTTGGACTTGTGAAGTACGCTAGGAATTCTATATTTTAAGACGTTGCTTTGGTTTTACTGTGTGGGAATTAAATCCAGTATGGTCCAATAAAATCATCATTATTAAAAGTAATTACATGAATTTTCTTCCTTTCAAGTCTCTTCTTGTCAGTACGTTTTATTGATACCTTTTTTCCTCCCTACGTATGAGACAAATGACCTTATTCTGTGGTGATTTTGAGTAATGTGGATGAAGAAATCGTATTGTTGTTTGTTCTTCTACTCGTTTTCTTAATCTTATGTACTTAAATGTCTACAAAATTATGAAACAGAAGAATGTCAGTCTTTCTAGTATGTCAAAAATTTAATACAGACCTTGGTTTGAAGTATGCTACATCTGACTTAGGATCATTGAAATAAGCTATTCGTTTTCTGTCTGAGTTTTACTTTCATCAAAGTGGTAATAAGATAAGCACCATCGTTTGCTAAGCTTCAAATTTTATCGTGGTTCAAAGTTATCAGAGGTAACACTTACTTACGGCAATGTAGGCCAATCACTAAAGTTTCACTTCAAATTATTGCCAAAATTATTGCCGTATGCTTTTGGTTAGTTGACGTGCTCTATATCGTTAAACCCCCTTTTGATGGATTGGGGATTATGCTTTAGTTCCTTTCTAGTTGTTGAATGATTTTTTAGTTGTTAAAAGATAATATGAGACACATTCTGTTATGCTGTAACAACCTTTTGATATGCCTTGCTAGCTTCAGGTTTCATTTATCGACTTGTCATTTGTAAGATTTCCTTGTTTTCTTTAGTTCAGGGTTACTTCAATACGTTCTATTTTGCAACACAAATTGTTATACTTTGTGAAAGCCACCAAGTAATATGAGAGCATTTTAGTGGTGTCTCATGTCTGTCTTTTTTTAGCATGTTCTATTTAATCATATCCATGTTGCTTTATCCCATCTCAGATAAAAAGATTGTACCCAAAGGAGCAAATGACATAAAACTAATTAATGCTGGAAAGATTTTGGAGAACAACAAGACTGTTGGCCAGTGTAGAGTGCCATTTGGAGAGCTTCCAGGAGGAGTAATCACCATGCATGTTGTCGTGCAGCCATCTTTGGCAAAAGCAAAAACAGGTAGTTTTCATCCTAGAATGTTAGTCTCTCAGGTAACGTTTGGTTCATGAATTCAGAATCATGATTCATGATTTTGATTTTTGAAATTTAAATTTTTTGTGAGAGAAAAACACTGTAGAGAACCATGAACTATGATTCAGAACCAGGGACGGATACATAAAACAAACATCCTCAGTGTTTATGGCTTATTATGGAATTGTGCTCTTTTGGAAGAAATTTACTTTTAACTCATTGCAAGAGAAGAAGTAGAAGCAGAAGTCAAAAGTTAAAAGTTAAAAATTCCAGCATTTCAAAATAAATGTAAAGCAAAATATGTTTTGCATTTTAACTAAATACATTACTCGTATTGGTGTTATGTGCAAAAGACTTTTAATTTAAGGATTTTAAGAGCAATACCAAATTGCCCGATATTGATTGCCTTGATAACAAAGTGCTATGCTTGCACTATGCTACTAAGCTGAGATTTCTTCTGAGTATTTGGGTTTCTTTCTTTCTTTTTTTCTTCCTTAACAGAAAAGAAAGTTGACGAGGCTCCAAGGAAAAACTTTTGCTCATGTTCCATATTGTGATGGAGTTGATCACGAGCATGATAAAGCTTGTGAGGTTGCCTCGGGAATATCCTTGTGTCTTTGGGACCATGGAAATGAGTAGCTTGAAAGAGAATAATTGGTGAAAAGAGTCCCATCTCCTCATTGTCACATGTTTGTTGGAGGGCATTAATCCTGTGTAACAATCCATATTAGTGCTGATGTATTTACATTTTCTATATATATATATAAATGGGTGCTTGATGATTTATTTTGGTAGCTTCCATATCTATTGCAAAATTATTTATACAAGGACTATCGAATCACTACTCCCTATTTTTGAATATGATGCAACTCTTGTGAATGTGTAGTAGGGTCCATTAATTAGTTTCCATTATGTAAAAATTAAATGAAAAATATGGAATACCACTGTTGATCACTATAAGAAACAGAAAGTTTATGGGATGGATTTTATATTGGTGTGGTGCGGGTTACCACGGCTATATATATATATATATATATTTTTGATGGGCTATATTTGGTTAAAAGATTTACCTCACCATCTGACAGGAAAATAATGTTAAATAATCAAGTACATGAAGGAGGAATCTCATCCATATATATCTGAATATCTCAAGAGAATCTTTCTTAATATTCTGTTTCATTGTTAAATTTAGGTGTGTACGGGAGGGGTTTGAGGCCTTTGTTTAGCTCGTGATACGTGTAATAAAAGGCTTCAAGAAAGACATCCATCTAGATTTATTTTTTGGTAGAAAAAGAATCTAGTCTAGTTATAAATTTAACAAGATACTTCATTATATATTGAGATGTATACATTAAATTTGAAGATATTATTATTATTTTTCAGAAAGGTAGGAAGTGTGACCATTTAACTCAACGTTCCAGTTTTGTGCCCTTTTTAAAGAAAATAAAAGCAAAGGTGCGTTTGGAATTGTTTACAAAATGATTTTGTTTTCTGTATGAAAATAGAAATGAAAACGTTTTCATTTTCATTTTGGAATTATTTTTGAAATGTGTTTGGTAGTTTTATTCAGCCGCGTCTTCTTCGGCTGGAGAAGAGAGAGAAGAAAAAAAAAACTGAAATCCGTTTTCAGAAAACGAAAACGTGAAAATGAAAATATATTTTTTTCGTTTTCAATTTTTCACAAAAAGACAAAAATGTTTTTGTTTTTGTTTTCTAACACAAACTTCGCCAACGCGTTTTTCATTTTTGTTTTCAATTTTTTGCTTTGAAAAACGTGAAAAATAAAAATAAAAACGGTAACAAACAGGCCCAAAGTCTCGCAGTATTTGAGAAAGGATCCTACAATCTTACTGGTAACGCAAAAGAGCAATGCTAAATATGATTACTGTGATCACTGTCAACTAATTGCGAATTTACATGTCATTTGTTTAATACAAATCAATGATCCTACACAATGTCACATGTAAATAATCTAACCAGTTAAAAACATGATAACTACCATTTTTTCCGTTACAATTACACAATTGAGAACACATGTATTTAGCCATTGTTTTAGGGTTGGCATGTAGATGTTGAATAGAATATTATAAAACAAAGCAGCATTAATGCGATATCAACGTCATACTCTTGCCAAAAGAAAAAGAAAATTCTTATAATTAAATATAAAAAACATCCCCATAATACTACCGTTTGTTCAAATTAGAGTGCATGCCCTATACGTTAATCCAATGGTTACGACAAACTGTTGGACGAGAGTCGAGAATCATCTCATCTAAGCTAACAGTACGAAAACACACTTCATCTGCCCATTATAAACAGAAATAATGTATAAACAAATAAATATTAAAATAAACATATTGACCCTTTGACCTAGCAAATTAGCAATTCTGAATTAGGTCGTTTTCTCTAGGTACAAAGTAAAAACGTACATTCGAATTAATATATCTTCTTGGTGTCTATTATTTTAATTTAGAATTCTGTACAGTTTTCAACCAGGATATTATTTTGTATCTTGCCAAACGCTTTTTCTCCCCTTTTCACTATAATTCAGCTGGTTTACTTATTCGAATTTGGTAATTATATCAATAAAAGATAAGAAGATAATTTTATAGTAGTGTAATAAGAAAACCTATCCTATCGGTACTGTTAATTTCTGAACCAAGTCCTACTGATCTTATCAAGCTCTGAATTGCCTTTTTATTACATTTTGGTTCTATGATTATGATGTAATTTAATAGTTCAGAATTATACGGTACCGATAGGATAAATTTTGATACACTACAGTCTACAGCATAATATAATTCTTGAAATAAAAAAATCACTTACACGTGAAGAAAAGGAAAAAAAAAAAAAAAAGAACAATACAATAATCATGGTAAAATTAAATGTATTATGATATAAAATATATATAATGATCAGCATCGCCATGCAGAAGCAGCGATGATGGCACGGTCCTGCCAGCCCAAGAGCAAGCAACCCTTCTCCTCCGTCAAGCGATATCCGTCGCACGAGTATAGTCCCAGCAATATCTTCGACTGCGTCACGGCGTTGGCGCTCAACGGAACTCCTCTGAATCCCTTCCCTTCCATGACTTTCCTCCACTTCTCCAGCCTCTCGTGCCTCGCCGTCCTCTCCGGTCCTTCGCACGCCACGATGTTCCTTATCTCCGGCGCGAATATGTACTGCTCCACCTTCGCCCTCTGCACCGAATCCACCGGAAACGTTGCATCCAGCGAATCGAATATCGCCGAGTAGTAGTGCAGGGCTTCTAGAAACCTCCCCAGAAAGTAAGGCCCGTTGTGGCTGGCTTCCTGTTCGACCAGGGTTAATATGTTGGGAGCTTGGTCTCGGATCATGGACAGGATGTTGCCGAGGCAGTTGGCGGGGACGCGGTGGAGACGGTTAACGGAATTAACCGCCAGGGCCTCCCCGACGCGGCGGTTGAACATGTGAGGCTTGAGGTCCTCGAGCTGTTCGCCGACGGCGTGGAATTCGAAGGGGACGTGGAGGGAGTGGGCGAGTTCGGCTAGGCAGCGGCCTGTCTCCTCCACGGAGTCGATGGAGGGGCCCACCCCGGTTATTCGGAGAAAAGGCGCCCCGCTGGGTCGGGCTGAGAGGGCCTGCATGAAGGCGGGCCATTGATAGCCCTGGAGGATGTCGAGGTCGATGACGTGGACGCGGTCTTCCGCCTCGAAGGCCTCGAAGATGGCTTGGTTGGCGGTGAAGTGGGCGAACTTGATGTAAGGGCAGGCTTGGTAGACTATCTGGTAGATTTTGAGGATTTCTAGGGAGTTTGGTGGGAAGGGTGTGAAGGCGGGTGGTTTCGTGGTGGCGGCGGAGGTGGAGGAGGTAGTGGTGGTGGTGGTGGAGGTGGTGAGAGTGGCGGCAAGGCGGGCTGAGAGGGCTTCGGTGAAGCAGGAGGCGACACGTTGCATGGAGTCGCCGAGAGGGGTGACCACTCGGTTCAGGTGGTGGAGGTACCTCCGAGCCAGCATGTAGTCCTCTTTTGACACTGCTTCCGCGCATGCTAGCAGGAGGTGCACCAGTTGAAGCCCGCTGTCTTGTTCCTGCTACAAGATGCATGCATAGATATAAGAAATTTGTGAAATTAGTTATATATGATGAACGAGCTGCATTTATGCATGTGTACTGTGTATAAAGACTACTACATACAGATCGATTTATGAGGAAATAATTAAGCCGATTCAAGTTAAATGAAAGTAGTCTTATATAACATAGGTTAGTAATAATCTGTACTAGCTTCACTGTTTATGTTGGTTTCAATCAGTCTGAGGAACGCTATCTAATTAATCACAAGTATATTCCAGAATGAGGATATTACACAATTTTTCATGTCATGAAGGTTTTACACACCACATTTTGAGATGTATAAGGTTACACAATTTTATACTGATTACTGACAAATCTTTACTAGAATAGAGATAATTAATGGTTAAACAATTTCTAAGTGCTTGCACTAAAAAAAAAAAAAAAAAACTTTAAACTTATAATTAAAAGGAAAAAAAAAGAAGGGGAATTGAAAAGAGATTTTTACCATTTCAAAGCCGCCAATGGGAAGAGTAGGCATCATGGGGCCATGGTTAAGATTATGAAGATGAAGATGATGATGTTGTTGTTGGTGTTGCTTCTTCTCTTGTTGTCGTTCTTGTTGCAACTGTTGAGATAGTGGTACAGCAGTACTACTCGCTGACGCTTCACAAAAGCTTAATGAGCAATCCAACATAGCACCAGCAGCTTGAACTTGATCATTAATAACATTATTGCTGCCACTTGGTACGTCGTAACTAGTTTGCGACGAACTTCCAACGACATGACCTGACATCTTGGACGATGTTGTCGTATCATAAGCTGCCCCAAACCCCTCTCTTTGATTACTATAATCATCCAAGAACTCCTCAATGGCCGGTAAAGCTAAGTTCTCAGGCTGTTGCATGTACTGATTGTTTATGGAGGTAAATACCTTGTGGAGTGGACTTAGTCCTTTCCCTTTAGTACTAGTGCTACTACTGAAAGCTCCGAGCTGAGATGAACTCCGAGGTGGTGAGCACCCCGAGAGGCTCTGACCCTGCATTGCCTGAGCATAGTGATAGTTATATGGGGACGGTGATGGCGGCGGCGGCAAGTTCCTCACCGGCGACATGATCATGAAATCAGCCGCCGATTCGAACTGGTCGGAGAACAAGGAGTCCCACATGATCGAATTGTCGGGCGACTGGACCTCGACGTCGCCGTCGAGCTCGAACTTGATGGGTGGGAAGTCGAGGCTTGGTGGGGCTAAGCTTGTTTGCTCCATAATATTGTCAGAGGATGTTGGAGTAGTACTAGGTTTAACAATATTGTTGATCTTTGATTCGGAGACTGAGGAGGATGATTCATTGGGAGGAGAAGTAGTAATTTGTTGGAGTGTGGTGCATGAGCTCTCTCTCTTGATGGATGATGATCCCATGCTTCCACAGAGGGAATTAATCATAATTTTTGTGTTCTTATAAGATTATCACCCCCAAAATACTCAATGCCCTAAGCAGGTTTAACAATATTGTTGATCTTTGATTCGGAGACTGAGGAGGATGATTCATTGGGAGGAGAAGTAGTAATTTGTTGGAGTGTGGTGCATGAGCTCTCTCTCTTGATGGATGATGATCCCATGCTTCCACAGAGGGAATTAATCATAATTTTTGTGTTCTTATAAGATTATCACCCCCAAAATACTCAATGCCCTAAGCTTTTTTTTGTTTTTTTGTTTTTTTTTGAGATATTGTATTAACGTTTATTTTCTTTTTGAGGGTTTAATCTCACATCAAGGGGAAATTTTGCTGCAATTGGGTTAGCCGTAAAGTTTGGGGGAAAGAGCAAAGAGAACTTTTTTCCTTTCTTCTTATTTGGAAGGGGTTCGTCGCTTAGTGGATGAGATTGTATATATGTGTAAGAAGAAGAGATTGGGAAAAACAAAACCCAAAACCAAATGCATATCATTGGAGGTTTGCGTTGAGAGGTCTCTTTTTCAATGATATCATCACCTTTTTGCAAAGTTTAGCTGTGATCTAGAGGGCCTAGTTTTGTCACTATTCCTTAGCTTGTTTAACTCTATGCCTGTGAAAGCTTTGTAAACCATTTGCTATGCTCTCTGTTTTGTTGGAAAACGACAATTGAATTTGGAGGGGCCCCACTTTCCTTGGGCCGGCCCAAGGTAAGAACAAGGTACTCGTTGTAATACGACTCATTTTTATTTTTATTTTTATTTTTAAGAAAACTCATTGGCTGGTAGTTTTTGTTCATTCTTCCGAATTATAAGGGGAAAAAAGTACTCATTGTTCTTCATTAATTCGAACTTGTATTAATCGTGGTGATTGTTCCTTGATTAAGAGAAAACAAATGGGGTGAAATCTAGGAATTTCTTTTCTGAAATGGGAAAGGATAATTGGACGATAAGATATATTACAAATGAGAAAAGGACTTTAACAAATTAAACGGTAATAATAGGAATTAGCCAAATATTATATATATATATATTTATATCTACATTACCAATAATTAAGATGATGCAATGACTAAAATACTGGGGGGCACCCTTGGTCCTATCTAATACTCTCTATTTGCAGCTATTATTTATAACTTTCACAGATCATACACTTAACAAATTAATAACTAGTTACAAGGTCTTAATTAGCATATATATATATATATATATATATATTGGAAAATGAATACATTTTACGAGGACAGCCTCAATCATGACTTGGATATTATAGAAAAATGCTATACAACGATCAAAACCCACTTTTCTTAAACTAATGTACAGCAGGTTAAATATGATTCTGTAAAAGAATTATAAAAGAGAATAGTGGTAATTTAATCAGTAAAATATAAGTATCGAAAGTAGTATTAAGATAAGATGATCATGAAAGCATGCACAGCTAATTAAGAGGAATTAATTGGGGGGTTAAAATTATAAGAAAGAGGACAAGAAAAGGGACATAGGCAAAGTCGTCGGATATGGCGTCGGTGAAGCCGCCTGAGCCTTGGATTTGCCAAAGGAACCAAGTGCTTGTCCCCACTCTCATTCCCCCCAACATTACCTCATCTTCACTTTCTTCTAATTAGCTAGCTAGGCGGCATCTCTCTCTCTCTCTCTCTCTCTCTCTCTCTCTCTCTCTCTCTCTCTCTTCTTCTCCCTCTCTATTTCTCTATATAAAAAGCGAAAGTAAGGAATCTTAAGGGCAGTGATTAGAAGGTAAGAGGGGTTGAAAAATGAGAAATATGGGAGTGTGTAGTCATGAGAGGTTTCAAAAGAGGGGATTCCTTTCCTGTCCAAGACATGTTTCCAGTGATGGTGCTTAAATGGTCCTTTCATAATTTCGCAAAAGCTTTGCTTTTCCCTTTCCAAGGTCAGGCCTAGCTCCATGGGGACAATTTATCTCCCTCCCCCTCCCTCTCTCTCTCTCTCTCTCTCTCTCTCTCTCTCTCTCTCTCTCTCTCTCTCTCTCTCTCTCTCTCGTATGCATGCATTCCACTTACTATTCCTCTATCTATATATATGTATATTACGCTCTTGTTTGATCATGAATATAGGTAGAACGATTCCCATACACGCACGCACGCATGCATGCATACATACATACATACATCCTAGTCTCATTTTTTCTTTTTTGTTTTTCAATTAAAAGTCATAAAGTAGTAATGCATATAAAGACCATATTAGCCATAAATTAAATGGAGTGAAAAGGAACCGTCATGCATTTACGTAACAAACTTATCTTGTATGTATGTAGTTATAACAATAATATTATCATGATATAAAAATTGGACATATTTAATCTATTGACAGTACCATGTTGATTAAAACTCTCAACAGTACTACTAGCAATTAAGACACATAAGGTTATTAGTTTGATCCGAATTGAAAATGCGGAAGGACAAAACTAAGTGGAGTTGACTTGGTATTTTCTGTTAAGATTTCTCCAAACTTTTTGTCATGTTTTCAGTGAGGAATAATATTTTGGACGACCTATATATATATATATATATTTATATATAGCTCAGTCTTCAAATCCAAATAGAGCCATTTCTATTTAATGATTATGGAAACTTTGTTTTATCCCTTGTCTTGAATTCCCAAACAATAAATGGTAATTGTACTTGTGTCTTTAATACAACGGAAAAAAAGGACCACAATAAATCAGTAGAGAAACTTTTTGACTCTAGACTTTGGTGACCTTCTGCTTGGAGTGTTTTTCTGTGTTAAAAATGGCCTAGTCAAATTAAGCTCTTTTATTTATGTGATAATGGAGAACAAACCGTATTATCACTTGTAACAAGTAGAAGAGAATATTTTAGGTAGAAAAAATGACAAGCTGAAAATATATTAAAATAAAATGACCAAATTATTGAGTCAACGATTAATAGCTTTATTAGAGTTTTTGGAGAAAAGTTTAAGGCATCTATAATTACACTCCAAAAATGATCGCGGATGAGATAGGTTATTGTGACGATCCTTATTTTTAGTCATCATTATTACGTTCATACTTAACTTATTTCTTAACTTTTATCATTCTTGAACTATAAACTTCCAAAATTTAGGTTCACCTTTTTTTTTCTTTTGCTTCACTAGTAAAATAAACAATATATGCCTTGTCAAAATAAAACTTCAAAATCAGTTCCTAGACATGGTCATACATTTCATCTATTCATTGCATACCATCATCATTCATAGGCCATTATCATATTAGCCTTTCGAGTACATTAGCATACCTTATAACTTAAGGTTGCTAAGCATAATCTCGTAGTCTCATAAACATTACATTTATTACATAACCCACTTACTCTTATATCTATAAATACTATTTACTTTACACACATATTGCAGCGTTTTTAAACCCGTAGTACGTCCATTACCCACTTGCCCACACTGCACTGCTTCATCCTTTTTGCATGGCCAGCAACAAGTTTCAGGAAGCCGGTGCCTTACCCGAGCTTCCTACAATACGAACAAACTTAATGAGCTTTCGCTCAGCAAGTAATAGTAGGCCATAATAAATGCAACAAATAATGCACACCCATATATGCATCCATGTCATACATTCTAATGTACGCTATAGACCTAAAATGTTTATCGTTTTATGTTTTTTTTTCTTCTTTCATTTCACACTTCATTTAATTTTCGTTCTTGTGTCGTTTGCATTATTTTCTAGCATTCCGAGCGACTTTCGTAACTTTTACATCTTCCATTATTGCATTGTTTGTTTTCATAGCTTTTACTTCATATGGGCCTCGTCCTGTTGTACCGTTGCGCACATTCCCAATGAGGAGTGGGGGAGCTATCCAAAATAACCAACTCACTCATGGTTTTATAATAACCTCCCTTGCGGAGGCCGGTACAAACAGTTTTAGTTTCTTCTTTTCTTTTATCATATTTTCTTTGTACATCGTCTTACTGTCATCTTTTCTTATTATGACAGTAATTTAATATTGTTTTGCGTTTTTCTGCATTGCTATCAATTTATCATTCTCATTCTAACATACATAGATCTCACAACATACACATTTTTGTGCAACATGGTGGAATAAGTTCATTCGTGTCATAGTTAAGAAAAACTACTGATACTTACAAAGGTTTCACTAACATTGTGTCCTTCGTGTCACTTGAAGTTTTCCAACTTTGATCTTTTATTGATCTATTATATAAATTTCTGATTGTTAGATTTACAATTTAAGACCAATAACTGCAATAAAATTTAACTCGAAAAGGTCTACAATTCTTATGTTCGGTATCTAGACCCAAATATCTCCTATCTCAACATCATGCTCCAAACCCTTGCATATTTTACCAATAATCACCATCTTAGACCTATTTCAGAATTAGCCTGAAACTAGTGTCTAAAGTCGTTTTTGAGAAAAACGCTGGCTGTGTTTGGAGTTGTTTTTGTTTTTATTTTTTACGTTTTTCAAGAAAGAAAAAAATAAAAACGGAAGAGAAACGGCGTTTAGCAAAATTAAAGATAAAAAATGGAAGTGAAAATAATTTTTTGGTTTAGTGTAAAATGGGAGAGAAATGAAAAATGACTTTTAGTCGTTTTTCATTTTTTGTTTCTGTTTTCTCCTCTCTTGAGTAGAGAGAGTGAGAGAGACATTAATGGATTTTTTTATACTGAAAACAATCTCTTGATAAAACTACTAAACACATTTTCAAAAATGATTTATGTCTGAGATTGAAAACGTTTTCATTTCCATTTTCGAACAAAAAATAAAATCATTTTGGAACGAGTTCCAAACGCACCCGCTATTTCACAAAAGTTGTTCGGAACAAAATTTCCTTCAATTTGTTGTTGGTCAATAACCTAGTTTTCAGTTTTGGTCCAAAACTACGAATTTTCATCGTTTTAGGCTTCCATGCATTTTCAATTACTGAATCAACTTACTTTACACGTCTTAATCCTCGTTTTATCCGTTGTTACAACCTTCAAACACAAACCACAATCTTTCTTATTCAATTTTTATCATCATAAACACCATAACTCTAGGGTTTCATCCAAATCCTCACAAGAATTCTCCATAACTAAAAATTGCTAGAAACATAATCTAATAACCAAGAAGTCATTCTTTAATCATTAAGTTTTCAATTCCTTTATTAACCATAAGTTAATCATCATCTTAAGCAACTTTTTCCATGCTCTCTACTATACTCAAACGTGTAGCCATGGTAGGAAAATGAGAAGAAAAATTGAAATTTCACCGTAGAAGAATGGAAAACAAGTTTCAGAGACACTAATCCTCGGTAGTTTTGTCGATTTTCACTTAGAACTCGCTTTTCCTCACTTTGGTGACTTTTTTTTCCTCTCTCTTGGCTGAATGCTCTCTGGTTTTTGGTATGAAAAAGTGAACATTTTGTTGTGTTTTTACCACTTAAAAACCGGTTGAAAAAAAAGAGGGGCCTAAGTGCAATTTCTAACTTTTCTAAGGTCCTTTTTACAAAATTCACTAAAAATATCTTTTTCCTTTCTTCTTTTTCAAGTTGGCCGGCCACCTCTCTTTCCACATGTCATAATCTCAGCTATCCATTTCTAATAACTATCTTATTTTAGTTCAATTTGATTCCTATCCGGTGCGCATTTTACCCGCGTTTTTTAGATAGTTGGTCAACTTGGTCAACTTTACTCAACCTTGACTATCCTTTCAAAAGTGACTTATTAATCGACTTTTGGTTAATAAATTTTGACTTGGCCAACCCTATTCGGTCAAAACCCTCAATTTTCTCAATTTGGCCCTCTGAACCCCTTTTTCGTTCGTTCTTCGTTCCGATTGTTTCTAAAACCCTAGAATTGATGTTTTTCAATTCTTTTTGATTTCTTAAACTTAACATTCATGTGTTTGCCCACTTGTGGGTTTAACACAACGTTCCGTGCCTCTTTCTTAATACAATATGAAAATCGGTAACTGCATCACACCTCAGAAATTTTTAAGCTTTAGTTTATAATTTACTATTCCATATTAATATCAACAAATACTTATCATAAAAGTATCTGTATTAATAATTCAAAGGATTCCATGAAAACGTATCTTATACAATAATTCTTTTGACAAATTTTCCGGTCATAACAGTTATGCATTGAAGAAAAAATGAAAATAGCATACCATATCATAGTTTTTTATGTTATATATGCAATTAGTATCAGCATTTGCATTGGAGATGTCTTAAGTCCATAAAACACGCCAATATGACGGGCTATTTACATAAATGCCGAATTTTCTTTTTATTTGCAAAATTATCGACTATCTCATATATAAAGACGATCATATCCTCATATAATGAAAAGAAAAGAAAAAATCAGTATAGAACAAAATAGGTAAGAAATCAACTAAATTAGTAATTACAAAAAAGTCAACTAATAATGAAATCAGTAATTAAAATTGAAAAATAATTTAGGAAAAAGGAAAGTTTATCTTTTCACAAAATAAATAAAAAAAGAATTAACTTAATATTTTTAATACCGGTGAATCACGATTCATTATCCGCCTCCATTTTACCTAAAAAAATGCTGAATGAAAACTAATCATCATTATAAAAATGAGTACGAATATAAAATTATATAAATTTGTCTAATGAAAATCGGTCATCATTATAAAAATGAATACACAATATTTAAATGACATGTGAAATAAGGGAATGCATGGGATAAAGAATAGGTGATTTCATTATTAGAATAATGAAATTATCATAAAAAAGAATATATAACAAATTATTATGAAACAATCATCATGAAAAATGAATACCAAATATAAAATTACATAAGTTTGTCGAATGAAAATTAGTCGTCATTATGAAACAGAATATGTGATGTAAAGGAACACAAAAAATCATTATGATAGGGAATATATGACTAATTCACATGAATATGCAAAAGCACATATTAATTTCATTAACATAATGTTAAATTAATCATTATCATACAAAATATATGACTAATAATTATGACAAATAAATATGATACATGAGAAGCAAAAAAAAAAAAAAAATACAAGATGTAACGAAAAGCATAATGAAATACAAAAATGTACAAAAAAGAAAAATAATTTTCACTAAAATAATGCTCATATCATAATGAAAAATAAATTCCAATAAAGAAAATATATAAGATTTAGCATTTTAAAAGTTTAAGAGTTGTCGGAATAAAACTCATTCACGAAAAAGATAGCCTCAAACAAACGAAATCAAAAATGAAAAGAAGAGAGAAAAGATAAAACGTGGAAAAAACATATCAGCATAAATTCAAATCATTGAATACAAAAAAATCAAATCCGGTTAAAATAGAAAAAGCAAATATATAAATTATAATAAAAAAATTGAAATAAAAAAAAGTGAAAACTAACCATATAAGAAACATGCCTAAAATACTCAATAAGGGCAAATCAGGAAAAAAAATAAGCCTTATAAAAATTGAAATCGGCATTTTTTAATAATGTACAATATTCGACATTTTTACAAATACAAATTCAAATCTAGACATTTTATGCGACTCTAGGGGCAGGGATCACGTTGGGCTCTCCTATATCAGCACTTCATGATGGGCTGAAGTTAGCCCACCAATCAAAAGTAGACGGCCCAGCCCACGTTTCTTTTTGTCTTAAAGCAGTGGTGAAAACTAGGCATGGTTTTAAGAGGAGTGGTGAAAAGGAATCTCCTTAGAGGCATTCAATGTGGAGGCTTGTTTTTTGAGCCAGAACTTGGCTGATTCTCAACGCTTCAAAGTTTTTATTTTTTTTATTTTTATTTTTTTCAACTCTCTTGCATTGAACTTCGTTTTGGTCTACGAGCAAGGGAAGACAAAAAAAAAAAAAAAAGGGCTATAATACTACTTCAAACTAGCCTCTCCAAGCAATATTGAAAGATGATCAGTTGAAGGTAAAACCATCTTGAATCTGATTTTGGTCTTCATCAACCACTTTTATATTTGGGATCTGAAAAAAAAAAAAAAAAAAAAAAGTTTTCCTTTTGTTAGAAAATCTCTTTGGCATGGCCTTGCAAATTGCACGTGAACATCTTCAATTTCCCTTTAAAGCCCACCCACACACCGAATGTTATGTCACAATCATTTTTATAGAGCACTCAGTCCATCACCATACAATAAATGTAACCAACATTCGGATGGACAAAAATGGACAAATGAGCTAATAGCATGTTTAGATTGGATTTGGTTTATTCTACCTCAAGTTTCTCTTTTCTTTTTATGTATATATATATATATATATATATTCGTTTTTTTTTCCTTTTTTAAGTAACTAATAAAGTAGTTGTCTCCAACACAAACCGTCCATGAAAGCCACCCTACATGAAAGTGCCCTATCCCTAGGTAACGTTTAAAGAATTGTATGCAATAAATATTCCTAAATAGGTAACTTTTTGCATGTGAAATTTAGTTATTGTTTCTTTTTGCGAGGGGAACACCGCTTAAATTTACCATACCCCAAAGAAGCAAACTTTCCCAAAAAATATCACTATTGATATGGACTGGGTTCCACCCATAAGTATCACATTATCGGTAGGTATTTTTAACTCTCTCTTACAAACACTACATATAGTGGTGGTATAATCACGAAAAATAATCAACCTATTAAGACTCTCTCACTTAATATTTAAGTATCGATTTTTGTCATCTGTAATGTGATTTTATATTCTATATGTCGACACTACTGATATGTTGTTTTTTTACTAGCAAAAAAAGGAAAAAAAAAAAAAAACCATTAAAATTCTCCCATTTATCTCTCCTACTCATCAACTTCATGTCACTCCAAACAAAGTTCACATGTCTTTGTATCTTTACTACACATAGTTGCATCTCCAACAAAAAACTTCCCCTCGTTATCCACTCAACTACTCATCACCTTTACTGTGTGAATGTGATAAATGCTAGTCCGAGTCCCTATTAGGCCTAGCTAGCTATATCATACAAATTATATTCATATACACAGCAACACAGCCCAACCCCAAAAATTTTCCCAATCTCCAATTCCTCACAAATTCTTGCAAATGAATTCACTACTTGTGCTACTTCTCTTCCTTTCTTCATCCTTGATCTTACATTTGGAAGCCAGGCCTTCAAAATCCAACGCCCACATAATTGTAATGGGCTTTGTTTACTGTGACATCTGCTCCAACAATACCTTCTCCAAAAACAGTTACTTTTTACCAGGTGATTATTAACACTAAACATAATCATTATATATTTATCTATCAATTATTTTCAACTCATTTTCTGATTTTTCACATGATTTATTTATTTAGGAGCTGAAGTAAGAATAGATTGCATGTTCAAAGCAATGTCTCCAAGAACATCAGAGCAGATATCTTTTTCAGTGAACAGAACCACAAACAAGTATGGAATTTACAAGCTGGAAATACCATCGGTCGATGGAATAAAATGCGCAGAAGAATCAGCAAAAATTGCTTCTTCATGCCAGGCCAGCCTAATGTGGAGCTCATCTTCTTCATGTAATGTTCCTGGTTACAAAGACACGTCTGATCAAATAGCCGTCAAGTCAAAACGAGCTAATCTTTGCATCTATAGCCTTAACGCCTTAAGTTTCAGACCCTCCAAGAAAGAGGCTTCCTTGTGTGGCAACTCAAAATAAAAATTCATCAATCATGTGATATATGTGCTTACTACTATATAATATTACATATAATTACAGTTCTAATCTCCTCCAATACTTGTGGTTTTTTCCCATTACTTCCCAAAAGACTTGGATATTCATTCCTGTTTAGTGTGTGGTTGTTTTAATTACTTTTAATTAACTGGGTATGTATAGATGTATTCTAGTATGTTTTGATATACTTGTACATGTATAGTTTGGTTTGAAGAAGAAATTTGGATTTTTGCCCTGTATTATAAATAATAAATAATAATATCTCTAAAACAAGTGGGGTTCAGACGGGCGACACTTAGCACTTACATAAAGACAGTCAATAACGTTTCAGATGACTTAAAAAGAGCATTTTGCTGAATATTGATTTTTAGATGTTTAAGTTGGTATATATGTATTAATTTATCTCTTTCATTCAAGCCAAAAAAGGGTCGGTGGATAAATAATCGTTTATTTTTATTTATTTATTTCTAAAATGTTTTGTTTTTAATTCAGGTTTGCCCTGTTTTTGTGATGTGTCGTCTAGACTGGTATTTTTGCAGATTTCTTGGGCCTGCATGGTGGACAGCCTTTAAAGATGCAAAACAAACAATTTGGATCTTTTAATCCCCATTGTCCTAGAAGGTCAGAAATTAGCACACCACTAATTGGTAATAACTACAGAGTACTAATTAAACTGCTATAGATTTTTGTTGTTTCTGTGTTATATATATGAAATGCTACCAAACTGGTTAGAGCTTTTTCTGAGTTCTAATATACATATAGGATATTTCTCTAAACTAAAGGTTAGAAGAGAAGTAGGATCATCTAGGTTTACTTAATAGTATATGTTAACCTTTCCTTTTTATAAAAGAAAAAATCCCAATTTATTACATATTAACAAAATTAGTTAGCAAGAAGTGTCAAGTATTGTTTTGAGTTGAAATCCGTCTCTTTCTCCTGTTTCGTTAGCTGTCTTACCAATATTAATTTTCCAATGTCATCTAAAGTTGAAGCTGACCTTCTTCTAAGTTTTTTATCAATAATTTTTTGTTTTTCTACAAAGAATTTTGTAAATAACGCACGGATGACAGCATTGAAAAGAACATTTGTGTGATAACAATCAGTCATGTGGGACAAATTGCCATGTTGGGTTTGCCTATTTTACGCAAGTGTTTGAGAAGTGGGGTTTTGCCTCCTCTCTGCACCATTTTTCTTCACTACATTATTGTACTTGGTAATCTTTTGAGATCAAATGTTGCTTGCTTAACATATAATAAAAGAAAAAAGAAAAAAAATATATGGAGGACTATATCATAGTTTTTTTTTTATTATTTATTTATTTCAAAAGCAAAGAATTAATAATTATGCTACACAAATGCATATCTCTTCTTGTTAAAACAAGCAGCCTTGTAAAGAAACAATCTGACTGTTTTCATAAAGCATACTGAGCTCAGCATAAACTTTTATTTATTTTATATATGTTATTCTGTGCTTCAAATACTAGTTTTATTTGATTACCCTAGTAGAGCAATCTGAAAGTGATAGTAATTTGGAAATTTAAAAAAAGAAAGAAAAGAAAAGCAATGTAATAAGATATACCAAAGTGTTCTAGATATGCACTAGTTCTTGGAACATCTTCATGGCGTGAGCTGGCAGACACAATAGCACATTTACACTTTTGGTCTCTTCCCCATCGTAGAGGAACAAGATCATCTCCTTCTGTGGCAGTGCCACTGGACCTGATAAAACAGGCTTTCCCCATCCGAAATCCGTGGTACGAAACGCCACGCTATACCAAGTAGTTATCAAAAGAGTGCAGGCCAAAGAAGGCCGGGTTCTTGTTATTTCGAAATAATCTATGCTTGATCTCATGTAACTATCGTTTACCAACTTAATCGCGTCCTGAACTAACCTAACCGCAAAAGATAATGGCTTTTCCAAGAGCTCGCCGGCTTGGCATATGGAATTGGTAATCACTATTCCATTGCCAAAATACCCTTTTGGAAGTGGTGGTATGAACCTAGGCCTTCCATCAACAGCAAACAGGAGCTTTGTCTCTTGCTCTGGCAACATACTAAGCGCCTTGGTTCGGGCTCTCCACACGAATGCTGAGAGCGCTTCAAATGTAGTGCACTTTTCTAGAGCTCCATTTTCCTTGGCTTTCACCTTTAACTTGTCAAGCATGTCCGGGTAGAAACAGAAGGATTTGTAGAGTACTTTTTCCTCATAGAGCCTGTTGGTGTAAGAAATGTCTTTAATCTCAGAGAATTCGCCGTGTAGGTATTCAATTCGAGGAGGGTCCCGAGACTTGAGAATGGTCCTATCAAGAAAAGGCGGGACAGTTAAGGGTAGTCCCCTGGCAGTTTCACCCCACGAGTTCACAAACTCCAAACCAGCAATTCCATCAACCATACAATGGTTTACGCATAAGCCAAGAGCAAAGCCTCCACATTTGAATTTAGTCACCTGAAAATCAACAAAGTAGAAGCTGGCTTAAACCTTTCTCAATAATTATGTTCAAATATCATGTGGACAACCATATATATATATATATATATTGTTATGGACTAATCGTAACATAATACAATTATATTACATGTTTTATTGAATCATTACTTGAAAACATACAAACCTGAGCCACCAAAAGTGGCATTTCTAGTATGTTCTTTGTACCAGGAACATCATAGACCAGCTTTCCAAGAGTGTCCGGATTAGGTTTTTTTGTTACATCTCCAATCTCCTTCATCTCACAATCTGCTTCAGCCTCAACAAAAACAACGCCTTCTCCGGTGCAGTTTATGACGAGTTTTCCCTCCGAGCTTATCATTAGTCGCCCTGCAAGAGGATAGTAGTGGACAAGAACTTTCCCCAAGGCGTCCCGGATCACTTCTCCTGCCTTGTCATTTCCTCTCTCGCTTGACTTGAAACCATGGATTGTTCGAATTATCACCGCCATGTTTTGGTCACGGTTCGAGAGGAAGTAGAGACCCTTCTCTGTTTCCTCCGCGGGGGAAACCAGAGTTGGCTTGCTTCGTCTAACTTTAAGATGAAATGTGCTGCGGTTTGAGTTCTCCATTATAGCTCGATCTTCTAGATCTACAACCTCAAGCAGAAACATAGAATCAATTACAAAGATTCACTCATGCACAACAAAAGAAGTAAAGCAAAATGGGAAAGGACATAATGTCTTGTGGCTAATACCTTGAAACTTGATGATCTTAGTAAGGCCTAAAGATTAGTATGTATGTTAAAGAGAAAGAAGAGCTTTGAAATTTTTCTATATCATTTGGTTTCTTTTCCCACTCTTTTTTGCACACTTTGAGATAAACCAACTATTTCAATCATGTCACGAACGCTCTTTATCTCTCCCTCTCCTCTTTTTTCCTTTTCTGCTAAGAATTCATCAGGAAAAAAAAGGCCATGGACCATCATTTGTTTTTTTTTTGCCGACAATTATTAATCAAAGAGGGGGCAAGAAAATTTATTTCAAAGTCGTAGAATTCGGATATTATTTTCACCAAGTAGTGATTGACAATTGGATAGTGTGAATATGATCACTTGGATAAAGTTTACACTATACCTCTAATGTATATTGATTAACTGTTTTAACTTTGTAAAATTTTATATTAATTTGGGATGCCGTCTCAATTCAATCTCAAACTTGTGTATAGTTAATCGCTTTTACCAGTTTTTAGTTTTCTCATTAGACTTTGAAAAAAATTACAAACTCATGTGAAATGCAATATCCCTGCAGACTCATACTGATTAGATTTTTTTTTTTTGGGTTCTAAGTTTAGTATTTTATTAATTTATACTAAACAAATTAGATAACAAGCAGTAACTATCTCTGTATAGGTTGGACTACTTTGGTAAAGTATTTTAGTGAGCTTTTTTTTTTTTTAATGATAAAGAAAATTTTGTCAATAATGTACGGATGTCAGCACTAAGGAGCTTTTGTGATGATAATACCCAAAAAAAAAATATTGCTAATTTGCAAGTAGGCCAAATGGCCGTTATTAAAAAGAAAAAATAAAAAGGGGGCCAAATAGTGATGTTTTAAACTTTTTTTCCCTTTGGGAACTTGGTCAAATTGCCATGTTATGTTTGCTATGTTACAGAAGTTTGTTCAAATTACCTCCTGTCACGGCATCTTTATACACCATTATTGTACTTACCAATCGCTTTCATTTTGGACATCAATGAAATCATGTTTTAATGAATAAGCAGAGAGAGATTGCTACATGGATAAAAGAAAATGATTTCAAAAGCAAAGATTGCTACTTAATGCATGCATATTTCTTCTTGTTAATGTTGGATTAGGTTTAGGCCCAAAGGCTCAAAATTGGCAAAGCTCAAGACCCATTCAAGTCCACAAAATTTTATGAACTAGATTTAGCCAAGTGGTTAAATGGTGACCAAGTACAATGAATAATCACAAATTGGCCAATTTTTAGTCATACGTTTTTTCGTAGCCACGGTTTGTTCTTGGAGCTTATATAAAGGGGCTTGGAGGAAGGGCTTAAGTATCTAACTCTCACACATCAAAGTGAATTCTCATAGTGTGAAAGAAATTTAGTTTCTCCAGTTTTTTCTTTTTTGTGAGGTGTTTCTCTTATTTACATGAGAAAGTGGTTCATATTGGAATTCTCATAGTGTGAAAGAAATTTAGTTTCTCCAGTTTTTTCTTTTTTTTGAGGTGTTTCTCTTATTTACATGAATGAGAAAGTGGTTCATATTGTTCTCTCAGTGTAATTTAAAGAGAATGTTGTAATCCCTATTTTTTTTTTAATAAAATCATTTTATACTTATCCCGTGATTTTTACCTCTTTTTTCACTTAAAATACTCCGTATTCATATTATCTTTATTTTTGCTCATTTCTTATTTTACCGTCCGATTTGCCAATAGTTAAAACAAGCATCCTTATACATGCTTTTAATCTTTAAACCTCCGGAACAAATTAAGTAGAGCTGCATACTTTTTTATGACTTTATGATTTTTATTCATTTTGTGGTTATCAAAGGCATACATTTTATTTGAGTAGCCTAGAAGAACAATCGGAAAGTGATAGCAACATGAAAATAATACGAGTTCAATAAGATATGCAATAGTTCTTGGAACATCTTCATTTTTGGACCTGGCAGACCCAATAACGCATTTATGTGTTTCCTCTCTTTCCCCATCCGGAAAGAGAGGAACAACTAAAACCGGCTCTCCCCATCTCGTGTAACTGTCAGTTATCATCTTAATTGTGTATTTGACTAGTCTTATTGCAAAAGATTATGGCTTTTCAAGAGCTCACCGGCTTGGCATATCGAATTGGTAACTACTATTCCATTGCCAAAATAACCTTTTGGAAGGGTTGGGATAAACTTGGGCCTTCCATCAACAGCAATTAGGAGCTTTGTCTCTTGCTCTGGCAACATTCTTAGCACCTTGGTTTGGGCTCTCCACACGAATGTCGTGAGCGCTACGATTGTAGTACACTTTTCTAGGCCTCCATTTTTCTTAGCTTTCATCTTTAACTTTTCAAGCATTTTCGGGTCAAAACAGAAGGACTTGTAGAGCATTTTATCCTCATAGAGCTTGTTGGTGGAAGAAATGTCTTCAATTTCGGAGAATTCACGATGTAGGTATTCAATCTGAGAAGGGACCCGGGACTTGAGAATGATCCTATCAAGAAAAGGTGGGACAGTTAAGGGTATTTCCCTGGTAGTTTCACCCTATGAGTTAACAAATTCCATCAACCATGCCATGGTTTAGTCATGACATAGGGAGTTCCGGATATAAATAGTCGTTTTTCTATTTTATTGTCGTTTGTTCTAACTTTCTAATTTAGTTTAGTTTTGTTATTATTGTATCGTTTATCTTAGTTGTTATTTTGATACTATAACACATGAACACATACAAAGCTGAGCAACCTAAGGAGGCATTTCTAGTACGTTCTTTGCACCAAGAACATCATATGACGAGCCTCCCAAGAGTCTCCGGATCAGGTTTTGTTAAGTCTCGAATCTTCTCCATAACACAATTTGCTCCAGCCTCAACAAAAACAACACCCTCTCCGCTGCAGTTTACGACGAGTTTTCCCTCCGAGCACTAGCCACCCCGCGAGAGGGTAGCAGTGGACAAGAAGTTTCCCAATATGTATAGTATATTGCTTGTTAGGCAGTGCTAATTCTTCATTAGCACTAATTATGTTTAACACGGTTAGGTGGTCATGTGATTCTGTTACAGATATTTTCCTCCCCTCCATTTCTGTAGTTTGTTATTCTTTGTCGTGGTGTGTGATTCTCTTGGGTCTTGTAATATTTGTTTTGCTTTCTGTTATGCCACCTGGAACCTTACTATAGGTTCAGAGATTTCTTTGTATTATATATAAATACTGTACATGAGCTATCACAGACAAGGCAATATACATCCATTCTTATCATTTCCCTTTCTGATTATTTCTGACTTGGTATCAGAGCCATCATGACTAAGGTCGGCGAAGCCCCCACTGAAGAATCCTCCCAAACACCTATTTCCAATGTTTCTACATCAAAACCAGCTCATCCCTCTTCTACAGGGAATACTCCATGAAGGACTTTACAAGTTCCAGCTCACTAAACCAGTTCCCAGTCCAGTGTTCAACTCTATCAGCAGTCAATTCCCTAAGTTTGCAAACCGAGACACCAACACTAGTGATAGTCAATGTTTGTCAAATGGTTTGTCATATGTTTCTGTTTTAGATGTATGGCATAAGCGTTTAGGACATCCAGCTTTGCCTATTGTCAAAACAGTTTAGTCACAAAGTAAAATTTCGTTCTCAATCAATGATAATTTCAACTTTTGCACATCTTGTCAATTTGGAAAGAACCATCGTTTGCCTTTCTGTCAGTCAGAAACTGTGTTTACAGCACCATTACAAATGATTTCCTCTGATTTATGGGGTGCATCTCATGTTGTTTCGTCTAATGGTTTTCATTATTATGTGAGTTTTGTTGATGCATATTCAAGATTCACATGGATATACTTTCTTAAGCTTAAACCAGAAGTGTTCCAAGTTTTTCAACATTTTAAGGCTCTAGTAGAAAATCAGTTTGATACAAAAATCAAAGCCTTACAAACAGATTGGGGAGGAGAATATAGACCTTTGCAAAAATTCTTTCAACTTCATGGTATAAATCATCGGTTGTCATGTCCACATACCTCAGAACAAAATGGAATTGTTGAGCGCAAACATAGGCATATAGTAGAGTCCGGTCTTACCTTATTGGCTCAAGCGTCTTTGGCTCTTAAATTCTGGGATTATGCATTTTCTTCTGCTGTTTTTCTAATTAACAGGCTTCCCACTCCAGTCCTTCATGGCAGTACTCCTCTGAAAAAGATGTTCAAGGTAAAACCCGACTACTCTATGCTTAGAATTTTTGGGTGTGCTTGTTATCCATGCTTAAGACCCTATAATACTCATAAGCTGCAAT